TCTAAATAGCAAATAGATGACTGATATTCACTATCAGAATCTACTCTCATACCGCCCCAGACGATGCTGTAGACTCACCAGAGGCCTTTTCCCAACTCCGTTGGCCGTTAGTAGCAGAGGTGCTAAGTAGCACGTGTTGCCACCAGCTGTTGCAATAGCCGCCGAACACCACTCGTAATCGCATGCTCAGACCCGATACAGATATGGAGAGAACGAGTCTAAAACATGCCTGGAATACGGTGAGAATGAGCTGTCGTGCTCCGGTCGTCTTCTTCGGCCAAATCGAGATAGATCTAGCCTTTTTCCACTTGAAGAACCATTCGCGCTCCCTATTACAAAGTCAAGCACCAACAGATCCAGTCGCGCTGAACAGATCTTCTCTCACCATAATCTACTTTGTCTCAAATTGAGCTGTATTGCATTTGTCAGTCAAGGCTATCTACTGCGCCATTCCAACCTTCCACGCATGGAGACATCTAGCTCTCGCCATTCCACATGCGGACCACTCTAATTTGGTACATCTGCGCTTGAGCCGCGTCGAGCTTGAGTCGAGCCTATTTAAGTTGCTGCTTGAGCCAAGCCAAGCCTTAGCCGATCCAAGTCGAGCCCAAGCCGAGTCGCTGACTTGAACAGAGCTGTTTTGAGCCAAGTTTGAGTCGTTTTGAGCCAAGTTTGAGTCATTTTGAACCGAGTTTGAGTAGTTTTTAAGCGGACTTCGCGGCATTTTTGAGTCGATTTTGAGACGTTTTTGAGGCGAGCCTGAGTTGTTTTTGAGCTGAACCCTAACCCTTTTTCAACCGAACCTGAGTTGTTTTTGAGTCAAATTGCTTTGTTGCTTGACAGATCTGGTTCCAGTTTGCAACACGTTTTTGACATTCTTTGTTATTGATTAGAAAATTTGTTCTTCATTACTGGGTATTATTTTTTCCTGTTTCTAGTACTCTAAAATGATATAAGCAAAAAAGGTAATGGTTTCTTATTCTGATAAGTCCTCATTATAAATTTGTCCCGTAAATCTTGATGAAATTAAATATCTTACTTGATCAAGATCTTATTTACTATTTATCAAAGTTAGAGGATTACAGGGGTACATTACAGGTGATATGAAGAAATCAGATATAAGTGCTTTAGAATATAACAAATGTGACTCTGAAAATTACTTGGTATTGTCTTGTCTCATCAATTCTATGTAACCCTATATTGCACGAACATATCTGTTGCTCAATATTGCAGCAAAAATATGAAATGTAACATCTCTCATATACTCAAAAGTGGAAAATGATACCCAAATTTATGAACTTCAGAATAAAGGTTCATGGTATAAAATAAGAAAAAATGACTATTTCTTAATATTTTTCAGAACTAAAAAAATTATAGCAGAAACTAGATTACTTCCAGGCAAATTATCTTAGAGATACAGTCAAATTTCAGAAATTGATAGAAAAAGAGCAGATTTATAATTTCCTACTTGGTCTGAACACCGAATATGATCTGATATGGGTCTAGGTGCTTGGTAAGAATCCTCTTCCATCATTACAATAAGATTAGTGTTATGTCCACTAAGAAGAAAGTAGAAGGAATGTTATGTTTTACCTAACACCAGTTAAAAAAGCTGGATTAGTTGTTCGGTCTGATCAGTCCAAAAATCTATGGAAGTATGACTATTGTAGCAAATCAAAACACACTAAAGAAGCTTACTGAAAGTTGCATGGAAAACGAACTAGAGATCGTGAGAGAAGGAAATGTGGACCTACGAGAGTTCAAAAAAATTTGGTTGAAATATGTGAAACACCTGACACACCAACAGTTAGAGCTTTTTCAACCGAAGAGATTCAAAGGCTGAAGTGTATTATGTCTCAATTTACTTCTTCATCAGCTACATGTATATTAGATATGGTAAAATCAGAATTTTCGAACAAAAAAGATGATTCACACTGGTAAATTACAGGATGACTATTCAGAATTTGGTTTGCAAGTTGGGCGTATATGATATTTCTGCACCAATTTGAGTGAGTGTATTGACTACCATGTTTTATTATTTAATTATTTTATTTTATTATTTAGTATTATATAATTAAAACTTTATGAAAATAATAATTTTATATAATTAGAATTCTAATAAAATAAAAATTTTCCTATATGTAGATTAATAATTTTATAAAATACCGTAAGTGTAACAATATAAGAAATGAGAAATAAAATTATTATTTTTACTCTAAAAATTAATTGTGGAGATTGATAAACACATATCAAAGAGAAGACTGATAATAGAATCATTTGTATGCTTTATGTTCCATGTATTAATAAAGTGAGAGATATTGTGACTAAAGACTTTGATAAGAGACAGTTTGACAGTTTAATTTCCAAATAGGCAATAGAAGACAATTTTATGCCAACTTGAGGGGGGGTGTCGAAATATTCGGTTTAGAGTTTTAAT